GGGTGTGGCTATGTGGATGGGCGGGGCCTTCTATGGGGAACGGAAGTGGGCGTGGTCTGCGCGATGGGCGGGGCCTTTCCATAGTGGGCGTGGCTTCTTTCCATGCCCGGAAGTGGGCGTGGTTTCCCTACTGGGCGCGGCTCATTCCTCGAGCAACGTCCGGCTGAACGGCTGACGATGCGGCGGTGGTTATGCTGCGGGCGGGGCTTCTCGCGATATGGGCGGGGCTTTGTCGTGATATGGGCGGGCCTTCTCGCGATATGGGCGGGGCTTATCGCGATATGGGCGGGGCTTCTCGCGATGTGGGCGGGGCTTATCGCGATATGGGTGCAGTTTATCGCGACATGGGCGGGGCTTATCGCGGTGTGGGCGGGGCTTATTGTGATATGGGCGCAGTTTATCGCGATATGGGCGGGGCTTATCGCGATATGGGCGGGGCTTATCGCGATATGGGCGGGGCTTATCGCGATATGGGTGGGGCTTATCGCGATATGGGTGGGGCTTATCGCGATATGGGCGCGGTTTCCCCACGGGGGCAGGCGGTGGTGGAGGCCGTGGACAACCTGCTGAGGCCGGACGCCTTGGAGTCGTGGAGGGACATGAACGTCTCGGAGCAGGCGCACACGGCCACCATGCTGCTGGACGTGCTGGAGGAAGGAGCTTTCCTATTGGCTGATAACGTCAAAGAGCCCGCCCGCTTCCTCGCCGCCCGCCAGAACCTGGGTGAGACCCCCGGGGGGGGGCTGGGGGGCGGGGGGGGGCTTCTGACCCATAGATTGGGTCCTCCTGCCCCACACATGGGCTCCTCCTGCCCCATGCTCCACATCTGGGGTCCATCTGGGCTCCTTCTGCCCCACATCTGGGCCCCTCCTGCCCCATAGATTGGGTCCTCCTGCCCCACACGTGAGATTCTCCTGCCCCACACCTGGGCTCCTCCTGCCCCATAGATGGAGTCTTCCTACCCCATAGATGGAGTCCTCCTGCCCAACACCCGAGGTCCTCCCGCCCCACACCTGAGGTCCTCCCGCCCCACACCTGAGGTCCTCCTGCCCCATAGATTGGGTCCTCCTGCCCCATGTTCCACATCTGGGGGTCATCCTGCCCCATAGATGGAGTCTTCCTGCCCCACACATGAGATTCTCCTGTCCCACATCTCGGCTCCTCCTGCCCCACACATGGTGTCCTCCTGCCCCACATCTGGGTTACTCCTGCCTCATAGACAGAATCCTCCTGCCCCACATCTGGGCTCCTCCTGCCCCATAGTTTGGGTCCTCTTGCCCCACACATGGAGTCTTCCTGCCCCATGCTCCACATCTGGGGTCCAGCTGGGCTCCTCCTGCCCCACACATAGGGTCCTCCTGCCCCACACTAGAAGTCCTCCTGCCCCACATATGCGCTCCTCCTACCCCATAGATGGAGTCCTCCTGCCCCACACCTGAAGTTCTCCTGCCCCACACATGGAGTCCTCCCACCCCACACATGGAGTCCTCCCACCCCATAGATGGAGTCCTCCTGCCCCACACCCAAGGTCCTCCTGCCCCACACCCAAGGTCCTCCCGCCCCACACATGGAGTCCTCCTGCCCCACACATGGAGTCCTCCTGCCCCACACCCGAGGTCCTCCCGCCCCACATCTGGGCTCCTCCTGCCCCACACATGGAGTCCTCCTGCCCCACACCCAAGGTCCTCCCGCCCCACATCTGGGCTCCTCCTGCCCCACACCTGAAGTCCTCCC